TACRTSTACATATCAAAGGTTACGATGAGTTCRTCTGTGGCGAATGCTCCCCGGCAGAACGATGCCCTACTCCAAGGTCCAAAAGACGATAACATAGTCGGTGGTTGGACCCCAATCGAGAATGTCGAGGAGAATTCATACGTGCAAGAGATCGGAAGGTTCGCAGTGATGGAGCACAACAAGCAAACAGGGAACCATCTAAAGTTCTTGAAGGTGACGAAAGGTTGGAGTCAAGTGGTGGCTGGAACTAATTACCGTCTCATTTTGGAGGCAGTAAATATGGCTGGGATGATTTGGAATTATGAGGCTGTGGTGTGGGATAAGCCATGGGAGCACTCCTGGACGCTCATATCATTTATTCCTCTCCTCAAGAACTGATATAAAGCTATGAATAATGGGAGTCTAATCAAGATGAAAGCTATCTATGAAAAGCTATGAATAATGGGAGAGAATAACATAAAAGTTATATATATCTATGTCTAATATTTCGCATTGTCTTTATATATGATTGATGTGAGAATAAAATGAGAGTTATCTCTCTGCTTAATATTGTGTTTGGTTTTCATGTATTAGATCTAAGGAAGAAAAAAAAAAAAAAACCTAGAATGAATTTTGATTTTGAAAAGTATAAATTAAATCGAGAGGGAAAAAATAACTTTCTAAAATTTTGAGCCTTAATATTTAAAAAAAAGAAAAAAAACTTAAGCCAGAAAAATCAAAATTGAATTCATTAAGACCTGGAGGGTTGTAGTCATCCATGAAGACCTCACAACAGTCTCAATTAACAGCTGATTTTTGAAAATGCCTTGTGATGCTGGAGCATCAAATTCAGCACAAGATGAAGCATAATCACTCTTATGGATTTTGTATTTAAAATATTAAAGTTAAGAAATAGAAGAATAATCATTTAATAGTGATTTTTGGTTGCCAAAACGAGTATAGCTCAACGGTAATTGGTATATATCTCTAAACAGGAGGTTGTGAGTTATTGAGTATAGATCGACCGTACTTGATACATACCTCTAACAAAAAAGAAATCTAATACTTTTACAAGTGGTGAAATTTTTAAGTTATTTTATGATTGAAAAAATATATTTTATAATTATTTTTGTTCTAAAATGTCACGTATAATTAGAATTCTTATAAAATTTTTAATTATTCAATATAAATTGGTAATTAAATTCACTATTAAAATTAATGCATGTGATCAAATAATTTAAAACATCACCTCTGCATGTCACATGTTAAATACCAGAACTTTCAAATGTTCAAATTTAGTCCATAAGCTTTCAATCTATCTTAAAATTAGTCTCTTCTATTGATTTATGATTAATTCTTCATAAAATAACTTAGTTTTTATTAACATTCCTTAAAACATATATATATATAGATTGTGTTTCTTTTAATACAAATTAATATAATCTTTTCAAAGTGAAATAAAAGTTAACTCCAAACTAACGATAAAGACTAATTTGTTGACTTTAAAAATTCAAGAAATAAGTTTACATAAAAGTACTTTTTTAAAATTAAAATGTTAGGTGAATTAAAATTTTCAAAATTCTTTTTATATATAATATATTTTGTTTGTTTGAGAGTGGGAGTGGTGAAGGGCAGGTAACGGAAACAAAAACAATAATGAAAGGGTTTTTTTCCCTTTTTTTTAACATAAATAATGGAAGAGTTCACGGGCATATTTTGCTTTCACATCATTTTTCTTATTCCTCGAATCTCTGATCTCTCTCTCTCAAATATTTAATATAAAGATATTTCCAATAATTTTTAATTATCGTGTACCAACCAAGGTCTGATTTAAAAAAAAGAATATCAATAAAAAAATATCGATGAAAACTGTTGTTGTCAATGAATATTTCTACAAAAGGAAAATATAACAATAAAAATTCATAACAAATAAATATTTTACTCGTTTTAAATAAATTACAAATTATTAATATTATATCTATATTAGTGATATTCTATTGATATTATTTAATATTTTATCATTTTTAATAATTTTATAGAAATATTGATCTGTCCGAGTCTATAGATATCATACAAATATGGATAAAAAAATATGCACAAGGTTGAAATTTAGTACATTATAACCAACCCACAACAGTTACTCGTTGGAGGCTGAAATTATAATTTTTTTTTTTTGTTAAATTATTAATTTAGCTTCCAAATTGTTATAAATTTTTGTACTTTATGATACATTTTGATGTCTATCTCGTCTATTATTACTTTAAAATTTTATTAACTTTTAATTTTATGTCCAGTAAGTGATAGGTTAGTTATGTCATTTTAAAATTATCCAATCTCTCTCATCTCCCTCCCTCATTTTAAATATGTTTTTTTAGTACAACACGTGGGGTGGAGATCGAACTCACAATCTCTTTGTTGGAGGCATATGCCAATTACTGCTGAGCGATACTCGCTTTAGATCATTTTAGATATGTTAAATCAGTCTAAAACTCAACTAAAATACATCAAACAAAATCGCTACCTACAAAATAGCTTCTTTAAACTAAAATAAGAGTGTGTTTTGGAGTGATTTTGACATCACATCCTTTTTCATTGATCATATTTGTCAGATTAGAAAATTGATTTTTGATTTTATTAGAAAATCGATCATTTATACTTAAATTTATTTTTTTTAGTATCATTCATTCTTATCATCACTTCCAAACATACTCTTGTACTCGCTAGCCAACTAAAAAAAATTATAAAAAATATAGTAAAAAATCAGATTCGCTCAATTAACTATTCTTTCCCAAATAATATTTTGATGTGCAACTTTCAATATTGTAGAAGTAATCCTTGGATGAAGACAAAAATGTCAAGAGTATCTTTTTATGATTTAAATAACGAAAAAGTATATCAACAATATATACGTTTTAGAGACCTCAAAACCTAATTAATAAGAAGTCATCACAATTTGAAAGAACAATACTCAACTAATAGAAAATATTAAGGGGCGTACACGGGTAAGAGAATTTTTTAGACACAACTCGAAAATTTAGGCTTGTTGCGGTTTTTCTACTCGAGGGACTAAAATGAAGTATAGCAACTCAACCCAACCCAATCCTTAGTTACAGAAGGCTGGAGGGCTGCCGTGGAGAATTCGAGGGAGATAAAAGAAACTTAGTGGGGTGGTGCAAGAAGAAAGAAGGGGAAGTGATGAATAAAATTAGAAAAGTATAACTTAGGTTATATAAATATAGATCCTTAGGTTGATTCAGGTTCAACTGACCAAAATTTCTCTCGGTTGGTTCGAATTAATTTTTTGATTTTGCAATAAATCAACCTACCTAATTTATTTAATTTTTTTAATTACTTAAGAGTCAGTGGTTCTTTGGCTTTGTGTCCCTATACTTGGAGGTATGCGCATTGTTCCCATATCCGTACATATGCAAGGGATCATTGCTTGGCAACCAACCCACCTAAATTGAAATCAGAAACATAAATGGACTCCTATCGATGTGAAAAATATACCAGATTAGTCTATTCAAATTGCTAATCCTCAAAACAACAATTCATTTTTTTCATAGAATCCTCTTGTTTTGTTTGTTTGCTTTGGTACATGTCTCGCTTAAAGATTCACCCACTAGAATAGTATTTATATAATATCTATTATATCCATAATAAATATATATTAAATATTATATATTTATATAGAGAGGATATATATAGTAGGAATTTCTTATTTAGGAACTTTTATTGATTGAATAAGAGAAGAGAAGACGACTACTTTGCTTTGTACTTTACTAGATAAGGTATATCAAGAGAAAAGCCTATTTGATAATGTCGACAATGAAAATTACCAAGATATATCTTCGTTTCTCAAAATCTAGCTTGTCGACAAATAAAATACAGTAAGTCGTTCCTAGAACCATGTGATCTACTACACTAGTGCATCCGATTTGCATTGGATTTTTAACTTAACTCAATTCAAATCCTTATGATTTGGGGTTGGGGTTTTTCAGATTCTTCGAGCTGTGGAGTTATTTTCAACACCCTAAAAAATACTAAAATTAGTTTCGGATACCCAACTATATTTAACTTCAAAGTTTAATGTAAAGTATATCTATTGCGTAACTCACGTCCGAATCAAATGATTAAGTTGGACTGATCCAACCAACTACACTTTTTTTCTTCTTTTTGGTAAAGGGATGATTTTTGGACCAGATATAATATATATTAGAATACTTGTATGTATGAAGACAAAAATATTCAGAGATCTTTTTATGATTTAAATAACGCAAAAAAAAAATAGTTGTCATTTGGTAATCAATTTGTTACAAATTTGTTGGCATCTCAAAGATGATGAAAGACGAAACGCATATAAAATGGCAACAATTTCTCCAGAGGAAAGAAAGACAAGTTTTGCATGTTTACGTTTTTGAAAACAAACACACGCAACTAATGCTATAATTTCCGTGTGAGGATTTTGGTGTTCAAATCAGCCTATAAAAGGGCTCTCTGTTCTTGTTCCCGTCCCGTTCGGAGAGCTTGATCGGTTTTGAGATGGCTCAGTCCGGGCGGAGATCAGGTGGTGCGGGTGCAGTGGCCGTGGTCGCGGTGTGGCTGATGATCTGGTTGGAACTTGGGGATGCTGCTGCAACTTTTATGGTTGGTGACTCTAATGGATGGAACTTCAACGTGAAGGGATGGCCAAATGGGAAGGTCTTTAGAGCTGGTGATGTACTCAGTGAGTTCTTACATCTCTCGTCACTGATGTTTCAATATTTTTATCGTCTTGTTTTTTGGTTATTATTTGTTGAGGGTCAATTACAAGTTTAGTTCATAGACTTTAAAGAGGGTGTGAACCATAAAAAGTCTTATATATGTCCAAAATTTTTTAATGTCATGTCTGATATATTGAAAATTTTAAAACATGTCTAATAGGTTTAGGAGCCTTTAATTTTTTTAATCCAATATAGATCTTTAAACTTTAATAATTTTGTGTTTATTAATAGATCTCTGATTTAAAGACAAATTTTAAAGTTTTGAGACTTAATTGTACACAAAATTAAAAGTTTAAAGATTTATTTGACACTTTAAAATTTAGAGGTTTAATTGGATACGAAAGAAAAAGTTCAAAGATTTATTTGATACTTTAAAGTTTATAATATATTAAAAACAACACCAAAGTTTAGAGATCTATTTAAATATTTTGTAAAGTTTAAGAATTGGTCACAATTCTAGATGTTCTAAAACTAAACTTTTAATTTAATCTAAATTATTTGACAGATGTTTGGCATGTGTCTTTTGTTTTGTTTTGTTATTATTTTATTTTATTTTATTTTTATTGATGCGGTGCCATGTGACAAATGACTATAATAAGTGATCCAATAGTAAATTTAATTTTTTTTATATAATTAAATGAAAAATTTATAAAATTTTAAGGATTAAAATAGTAAAATGCAAAGTTGAGACACTATATTAAAATGAGTGTGGGCCCTATATAAATATTTAGCTTATAATTTGAGCTTTTTTTTTTTCAATTACTGTATTTTTTGTTTATTTATCCTAGACGTTGAAATAAGTTTGAAACACATGTATGAAGGTGAGGGCAAATAATTTATCTTGAACCTAGCTTTCTACTTGTCAATTTTCACCTTTAAAATTTTAACTCTAACGGCTCAAAATGTACTCTTAAATAAGTGGTGAAATTAATATAGTTGTAATTGACATAATCTCCAATCAAGAGGTTGTGAGTTCGATCCTTCACCCTTACATGTTGTATTCAAAAAAGAAAAAAAAAACTTTCTCAAACAAATATTACAAATTATTCACGAACCCAACCGTGACTAAAAATCATTACCTTCTTAAAAGAAAGGTCTATAATTAGCGACAAATCTTAAAAAGAGTATCAATGTCATAATCATCCTAAATTGGCCTTTTAATTTTTAAATTTGTCGAAATCGATGTCGTGTGACTTACATTATGGATCTCTATAATCGAGACTCATTGTGTGGATCGAGATACATTATGATCAGCATAAGACTTGAACTCAATACCTCATGGTAGGTGATACTACCGTACCATATCTCCTAGGAGACAAGAGTATCAAATTCACGATCAACCCTAAGTTGGCCCTTTTCAAACTCATGCTAACCACCCGTTTATAGTACTAAAATCCTATGAAAATTCTTTAAAATAATTTAGGAACATTTGCCAATATGAACTTAGCTCAGTTCGAATCACCGCCCCACTTGTTGTGCTCAAAAGAAAAAAAAAATTGATTCGTTCCTTTTTCTTATTTTTCGTTTTCAATTTTTGAGAAATATAAGCGTTCTTTTAACTATTTCTTGTTTTTTTYTTTTTTTTAACAATACGTATTAAGTATTGTGTAGATATATTTTGGAAACAACGAAATTAAAACTTCTTAAAACTTCTTGTCTTTTGTTCTCATTCAAAACTTCTTAAAACTTTATTATTATGACATTTTTTATTTCAATAATAAAAAAGAGTAACAAGAAACAATTTACCAAACATAGACCTTTTCTTTATTTATTCAAAAATAGGAAACTAAGAATCAAGAATCAAGAAATAAGAACGCTAACAAACAAGTCTTAAATGTTACCGGGTTACGGGTTAGCCATTCGTTGGTTGAAATAATTTAATAAAATAATAAATAATTATTGTATGCAATTTTCTTTCAGGATTCAAGTACGACCCAAGAGTTCACAATGTGGTGGCAGTGGACGAGGAGGGCTACAACAGCTGCACAGCTCCAACAGGAACCAAAGTGTTGAGTTCAGGCAACGATGAGATCAAGCTCTCACCAGGACACAACTTCTTTATATGCACCACCCCAGGCCACTGCCAAGCTGGGATGAAGATTGCCACCACTGCCCTCTAGTTTCCCAAATTGCCCTCCTTAACGTGTCGGTGTCCATGTAAATGTTCACGTCTTCGCATTATATATGAAGGACGTCGATGTAATAGATGTTTTGGGAGAAGTATAGATATAAAAGAGAATTTATTAATGAATAAGTGTTTACACTTTTTAAAATGAATTGTTACGACCATAAATCTTATTATTAATATTTCATCCCTATATTAATTAGGAGTGTCAATTTCTCAGATCGAATTTTCTTTACTTATGTATAATTTGATATTTGAAACTTACGAAATTTAGTTCCATTTTGGCAAGTTTTGTTATAATATGATCCCAACTAAAATGAAATTTTGTTAAAATTAAAATCAGATATATTTATTTTTATTACGAATTTAAAAAAATTTAGTCATTTAAAAGGAGATTCCCAAATTAATCCTTAGAAGGAAATTAACCCGATTGAAGATTTGCTTCGCTCTCCCTCGAAAACAAAATTTGTAAAGGCAAAAAAATTATCCATTCCACGATTTTCGCATGAAAAATCTCCGTCCGAATCCCCACGAAATTTTAACAAAAAATTTCTTGAGAAATAGGGATTGATTGTACCGTTAACCATTAGATTTATATAAGTATTGATATATTTAGATAATATTTTAATAGTTCAACAGCGTATAAGGGGGGTGGGATTTAAATTTCCAATTTTTTATCGAAAATATATGTTTTAACTAGTTCAACTATGTGTTTAGATAATAATTGAGTGACGAATAAAGAAAGAGGTCGAATAAAGTGTAAATTTAATTAATTAATGATAGAAATAAATTGTTTGTTGAGATAATGGAGCTTGCCGAAGAAGAAAATATTCCAAGGAATTGGAATTACCATTAGGAAAGAAGTCAGATGACATGGAAAAAGCCAAATGGAAAAAGTTAGATAGGAAGATGTTAGGTACGATTCGTTTAACATTAATAAAAAAAAATGTGCAGAGCAACGTAGCTAAAGAGACTATCACAAAGGGGCTAATGGCTGCACTGACCAACATGTATGAAAAGCCTTTGGTAAGTAATCAGGTGTACCTCGCAACTAAATTTTTTAATTTGAAGATGCCTGAAGGTACGCTGCCCATAGAAATGAGTTTGATATGTTGGTTAACAAACTTGTTGCTATTGATTTAGAGTTTAATGATGAACTTAATGCTATCCTGTTGTTGAGATCCTTACCTGACAGTTGGTAGCCGATGAATACAGCTATATTTCAAATTCTTGTGGAAAAGAGAAATTGAAATTCAAAGATGTCAAAGATGCATCTCTTGGAGAGGAGATTCACAGAAAGGATTATGGTATTGTATCTACTCTTGATACGACATTGAATGTGAACAAAAGAATAAATAATAATAGAGACCATAAAAAATGTGGAAAATCAAGAAACAACATAAGCAAGTCTAGAAACAGCAGACTAGAATGTTGGAATTGTGGTATGACAGGATATTTGAGGAGAAACTGCAAAGCCACAAAGAAAGCTGAGGGGAAAGAAGCTAATGCAAATGTTGTCGCTGAAGAAATACATGATGCTCTAGTTCTTGTTGTTGATGGCACTAATGACACATGGGGGGTGAATTCAGGTGCGCATACTACAGGACAATGTGACATTCTTGAAAATTATGTTGCAGAAAATCATGGAAAGGTGTATTTTGCTGATGTAGAGCCTTTGAACATCATTGAGATTGGTGACGTTAATTTAAAAATGACGAACGATTCAGTTTGAAAGATTTGCAAGGTACATCACGTCCAGAATATGATGAAGAATCTGATTTCTGTGGGGCAATTGGATGATGAAGGATGTCAAATATCATTCGGTCAAAGAAACTGGAAAGTTATAAAGGATTCCATGGTGATCGCTCGAGGAAGAAAGTTAGGAACTTTGTATGTCAACAGCAATGTCAAAGAAATGGTGGCTATATATTGTAGATCATTCGAGTCAGACACAATTATGGCACAGTAAGTTGGGACATATGAGTAAAAAAGATATGAAAATTCTTCAAAGGGAAGTTAGGAGGACTTAAGGCGGTTGAACACAAGTTTTGTGAAGGGTGCATATTTGGGAAGCAAAGTCGTGTTAGTTTTTCAAAGATAGGATCAACGCTAAAGTCTACAAAAATGGAGTTGGTCCACACTAATGTGTGGAGGCCTTATGAAGTTGCTTCCATTGGAGGTTTTAGATACTATGTAACTAGCTTTCATAGACGACTCAAGTATGAAGGTACGAACTTACTTTATTAAACATAAGTCTGATGTATTTTCTGTTATAAAAATATGGAAGGCTAGGGTAGAGAATGAGATAAGCCTGAAAATAAAAAACTTGAGTTCAGACAATGGTGGTGAGTATGTTAGTATGTAATTCAAGAAATATTATGCAGATAGTGGAATTGTGATGGTGAAGACTATTCCAGAGACACCACAGTAAAACGGTGTGGCCAAGAGAATGAACATGTTGCTGAATGAGCGTGCCAAAAGCATGAGAATACATGCATAATTGCCTAAGATGTTTTAGGTAGAGGCAATCAATAATTGTGTGGTCTATTTGATCAATAAGAGTCCAACTATATAACTAAACTTCAAATTGCTTGAAGAAGTCTGGGTCGGTAAACATGTAAACCTTCTCATCTAAAGGTTTTTGACTGTGTATCTTACATTCACATTGATATTCTGCTACAGACAGAAGTAAATTAGATGTTAAATTCAAGAAATGTTTCTTTCTTGGATATGGTGTGTTGGAATAATGGAGCCAACAGATGACTCGTGTCCTATGAGGAAAAGGATTTTCAATACTACTATAAATTCCTACAATGAGTAGAATATTATTTTCTTATAAGAGTTACAATATTGTTTTCCTATAAATATTGAGATATTTGGCCTCTTATAAATAGAACCATTTTGTTAAGGTTTCATTTGTATAGAATCTAAATAAGAGAGACTTAAGTGGTTGTGGGCAGTGTGTGAAAAAGGAGTCTGTATCTCATGGGTTTAGTAAAGGACATTTTCTATTGTGTAATCTTAGGTAGCCGTTGTTAGGGTACTTAGAAGCAAGATAGTAACATCTTGAGCGAGATCTCCATTGTAATATTCTCAACTATAGTAGAACCTGTTTTTTCGTAGAAGATTGGATGTAGTCCCAAGATAGGGGCAAACCAATATAATCCCTATAGTGTTAAGTTTTTCTATCCCTATCTTTTATTCCTTTGTTATTGTTACTTATTTGCTTTTAGCCTGTGGAAGGGAAAAATCAAATAATTCATGTTTGAAGAACTTACAGGAGGATTGATTGATCTATATTTTTTTCCCATCATGGTGGAGCTGAGATAGGTTATAGATTTTGGGATGACCAAAACAAGAACATTATCATAAGTAAGAACATGATCTTCAATGAAGAAATCTTAGACAAAGACAGAACTAAAGTTGATTCAGGAAAGACAGAATCAAATTGAAGCATAGAAGATAAGACTTAGTATATAAGTCCTCCTGAGGTTGAGACCAAAAAAACAGAGATTGAAGATTAGAATGCAGTTACTTTTGAAGAAACGGTCATGGGATTTGATGAACAGGTCGTGGAATATGAGCAACCAGTTGCGAAAACTAATGAGGTTTAGAGAACACCCCAACAACAGTTAGAAAATCTAGCAGAACAATCAGCTATGAACTATATTTTACTGACTAACAGAGGTGAACTTGAATGTTATGAAGAGGCAGTTTAGTTGGAAGACTTTGTCAAGTGGGAGTTAACCATGAAAGATGAAATTGAATTCTCTAATGACTAATCAAACATGACAACTTGCTGAGTTACCAAGAGGTAAGAAAGCTTTGCAAAATAAATGGATATATAGAACCAAACAAAAACTCGATAGCAGCAAAAGGCACAAAGACAAGGCATTTAGTCAAAGGCTTTAAACAAAAGGAAGGTATTGATTTTAATGAGATTTTCTCCCATAGTTAAACCAACTACCATTAGGACTGTTCTATCGATAGTGACAGAAGAAAATTTGTTCCTGGAGTCAATGGATGTAAAAACGGCTTTTCTTTTGAGCAACCAGTTGCAGAAACTACTGAGTTTTAGAGAACACCATCAACAACAGTTTGAAAATCTAGCAGAACGATCAGACCACCATAGATGTATTCTGCTACTATGAACTATATTTTACTGATCGACAGAGGTGAACTTGAATATTATGAAGAGGCGGTTCAGCTGAAAGTGAGAGATTGTTGAGATAATGGAGCCAAATGGAGGAGAATTTTTTTTTTTCCTATAGGAAAAAAGTCTTTTTGAATTTTTCCATGTCTTATTTAGTTTGAGTCTTTTTATTATAATTGTCCTATTTAGTTTAGACTTTTTTCTTTTAAATTTTTCTTTTCTCCTTTGGTTTTTGTCATACTATTTATTATAAATAGAGATAGATAGGTTATGTGATTGTGTGCACAAATAGAGGGTCATGAGTAATTCTCCAAAGAGAGACAGTTTGAGACAAAGTGATTCGTGAGTGTTTTCAGTGGGAAGGAAAACTGAGAGGAATCATTACAAAAAGCTTGTAAACTCTTTGCAGATTCTTCCTGACATTGTAGTATAACCTACAATATTGTTAGTAGAGAACTAGAGTAGTTCCACATTGAGTGATCAACTAGTATAAATTCGGCGTTTAATTTTCTTCTCCTTAATCTTTATTTATCTTTCTTGTTACTTAGAAGTTTTTTATTGTTTTATCTAATCTTTTAAGTTGTATAAGTTCCAATTTGAAATTTGAATTCCGTTTTAATTAGAATCAAAACCTGATATGAGATTAGCTAACAAATATTGTCTGCATTTGTTTTTCAGATAATTATTAGTTGGCTGCATTTTGCACAACATTATTAACCACGTAGTAGGAATTTTTATTTTCAAACGTCGTTTCGCGAAATTAATAGTGGAATCTACATCGATTTAATTTGAATGTAAAGAAAAGCATACCTTCTTAATTAGCCAAAATTAATGCAAGTAACTCAATATTTTATCTGTTTATTCAACAATAAGGGAGAATGGATATTCAAACATCTCATATTTAGCATATATATATATATATACCCACACAATGCCTTAATCAATTTTTTGCTACAATATTACAACCAAATTAAAGATACAAATCCAAGCAGCTAGACAACCTAAAAAATGTAAAGTTTATTTTGTTCGGTGCAGACGACATGTCGAGAAGTTTGCATGAATTAAGTCTGAGAAAATATAGAAAAAGCTATTGTTTTTTAACGGGAGAGGTTCAAACAACTTGCAATTTCTCAATTATGTGAACATCATCCTCGGCCTCCAACGCAACATAGCCTGTCGACAGGTAGCCTTGAAGATGGTCGAAGAGAGCCGACTTGTCGACACTCTCTTGGTGATACGATTTGCAGACGAAATACAACACAATTCCCGCCACAAGCCTGATCCAAACGATCACCAAAAACGACAACAACCAGATAATCCCCAAAATACCCTTGCCCACCACTCCCGTCGGCGCCCCCGA